GTTAACCTTGTCAAATGTCTGTAAACTCTTAATGCCACTGTACAAATATTATATGACATGGCTTTTGTTCAGTGAGCCATGGCTAATAAATTGGCTGATAAATGAGTTTTACACTTCACGGCCCACAATATACAATTGGCAGTTTATACATTTTGCTCATTGTCTTATCGCTGTGGAACTTTATTTGACCATAAGGCAATAGCAGGAATAGTAATAGAATATACTTTTACAGCGCAAACATAAAACGATCCACAAAGAAAGCGACGACACACACCAGATGTGTGGCGCATGTGCGGTGAGGTTGCCCAGGAGGTATTTATGCATTGACATATCCCGAAATAAAGTCAGTTGTTAGTCAGCGCTGGTGTGTGTCGTCGCTTTCTTTGTGGATCGTTTTATGTTTGCGCTGTAAAAGTATATTCTATGGCTATGAACCAACTAGGCCCAAAAGAAGTTTTACTTAGGAATAGTAACTATAATAACGTAATGTCTTAGTTTTGCCGCAACAGCAAAGCAGTCAATGCGAAGAACACAAACTGGAATGCCTTATAAAAACAAGGTTAGCCGCGAGCTCTATTAAGGTCTTTAGTGACTCATACTCATGGCATTCACCTGTGTCTGCCCTGAAACGATGCCAGCTGTGGCTTCTGCTCCTCACACTAGATAATACTAGATAATATTTAGCACAATGAAACACGAGAAGGGAGGATAGTGTTGTGTTTTCCATTCTTCTCCTTGGGTTTCATTGCTCCAAATATTACCCATTGTCTTACCAACAAGGACACATTTGTTCCGCTCACGCTCTCTCAACAATGAGACGACGGTACAGCATCTAGTCGCAGCCGTCGAATTAGTCGGGTGACTCCCATGCAGCCCGGTGATGATTCCACGGCACAGACTTTCATCGAAAACACTTTGGAACTTACAAAGTGTCTGTCAATTTTTTTATTGAACCCAGCGTAAGTGAACAAATTGGCAATGTAAGGAAAGAGCACTTGCTGTAGCGAGTGAAGCCAATTCTTTATCGTAAATCGAGCGGTGAAAACTGAATGTGAGCTGTGAGCCGTCTTCTGATCGCTTCGTAAAGCGCGCGCACTTGACCACATCTACAGTTCTGAGTATGTCGAAGCCCTTCCCTTTTTTCTTTGCTCCTCTCCCTTTTTGAGCCGCGTACTTCAGCTGCTTTTTGCACTCTTTCACTTACACAAAAACACACAATGCGCGGGGCGATGTCTATTGATTGGAGCTTTATACAGAACATGACGGTGGTGCCAATGACAAAAACATACCCAGATTGTCCCTATGACTGTCCTGGTGGTGGTGGTGGTGGTGGTGGTGGTGGTGGTGGTGGTGGTGGCGGCGGCGGCGGCGGCGGCGGCGGTGGCGGTGGCGGTGGCGGTGGTGGTGGTGGTGGCGGCGGCGGCGGCGGATTTCATACAAGGCCGGCGAAGAGCGGTTCCTTAACTCCCCAAATCAGGTGATGAACTTTCCTCGCCTCGGGCAAGTCAGGGTCAGCGCGGCGAAATAGATGGGCCATATCCTCAGCAAACATAGTGACGCTTTCATTCGGCTTTTGCATGCGAGCTTCAATCATCTGTTGTGCGAGATCCCGTCGGTCCGCACTCAGGAACGCCACAAGAAACGTTTGACGGAAATCGTCCGAGGTTTGGAGAGTAGGCTCCCTGTTCACGTACCATGTGCGAGCGCTATTTTCCATTGCGAAGTAGGCACCACCAAGTTTCTCTTGCGCGCTCCAGTGATTCACCACAGCGGTCCGCTCGAACTGGTTGAGCCAGTTCTCGACATCTTCGTATGGTTCTCCACGGTAGACTTCGGAAAACACGAGGAGGCTCAGAAGTTTCCTGGGAAGGAAGAGTCGTCTGAGCCGGAGGAAAATTCGCAGATGTTGAAGGGGCCGCCATGTTGGTAAGGGGAGATGCAGTCAAGGGTTCTGGACTTAGGCCTAGTCCGGGCCGGCTAAATCGGTGGCTGAATCCGAGGCCCCAGAGTGGGTGTACGGTCACGAACAATGCTTTCCTGCATCAGGTTGCAGGCCCCAGAACCTCCACCAGTGTCGCGACGTGAATGTAGAGGTCGTATTTGAAGAAGCTGAGAAAGCAGCAGTGGGTCGGTCTTTTTATTTTACTGCACCCCAGAAATTTTCTCGTCTTTCTCGTTGTTGCGTTCTGCATGAAAGCTAAAAGCATGCAGATGAGCGTATGCACTGTCGCCTTTGTCTTTCTCGCAGGACGCACGTGACAATATGTAACTGTATACAAATAAGACAACCTGTCGTATCATTCACTCTATGTGGCAGCATTAGATCAGATGGGGTTCGGTGAGGGTGTTCAGATAGATAGATGTATGAGAGACTTCGTTAGACCTGAGGTGCTCGACTCAATGCTCAGCGGGCCAGATAAAAAAAATTACATACACGCACGGTATGCAACATCATTACGCTCGTTTTATTCTCGACAAAACATTGTTTAAATTCGACTGTTTGGTCCTAGTTCTACGGCAAAACATTGTTTAATTTCGACTGTTTGGTCCTAGTTCTACTGGAGACCGTATTCACTATGGAATAAATATAGCAGACATATTCACGCCATTCCGACACCACTAGGCAGGAGCATACGTTTCTCGCCTGACCGCTTGGATGCAATGCCTCCTCCTTTCTTGTTGATATAATTAGGAAGAAAAAAAAAAGATGCAGGGATACATCCTCCTTATTTCTATGTATTGTTTCACTTGAATTTGCAGCAGTACCGCCAGTGCCCTTTAGTTTTGTTATAGCGATGCGCGTACCAGCTAATACTCTCATCTGCGGGAGCAGTTGAGAAGTCGTGCTTTGACTGCGGTCGTGGAAACTCCAGCGCCGGTTCTCTATTAGACTTTGTCTCGCACGATTCACAGGACACAGCTCCCCCATGTTCTACAAGGTGAGCCCACTGTCGAATCAACATGCTCCTGGGTATCTTGACTGGGAAGGGCAGTGCAGGAGCAGATCGCTAAAAGACCACAAGGAAGCGGGTTGAATCACATAGAGCCTTTCTGGTTGTGAACACTTAAATCACCAACAATACAACAGCCACGTGCAAATCACATTTTTCTTTCTCTTTTTGCTGTCCACTGTTTTTGAAGGCTCTCTGCAGTTTAGCATTGGCCGACCACTTTCGCGAATGCGCCCCGGCGCCTACCATTTTAGTCCTGCTGTTTCCGAAAGTGGGTTGAACTGGTCGTTCCTGCTGCCGACGACCTCTCCACCACGGGGTGCGTTTTTTCGAGGTCCGCGGCCGATGGTACTTCAGGCATGCTTGCTGCCGGCTCGTCTCAGCCGACCTCCATGGCTCACGGCACGGCTGACACGTCGGGTTCTGCGACGGCGGCGTCATCGAGCGCCCTGGCGTCTACAACGACTGCGGACATCGTCACGCCTGCTGTTCACCCCCCGGTCGCGAGGGCTTCAGTGTCAACGATGTCCGGGGGTGCCTCTCCACTCACCTCGGTAATCTGCGTGTCTGGCCGGCAGCAACCATCCTCGCCCTCGCGGTCTCTCGCGGGCGAGGTTGAAGCCAAGGGCTGTCAACCACGGCCAGACTTCCGAGATGTTGCGACTCTGACCGACGCTCCTGAGGACGACGTGCCTGATCTGCCTATGTCACAGCAGACCGCACATCTCACGCCTGGCATGCGGGCACCCATCTTCCATACCGACCTGCGCACGAACCGACGTGCGCCGACTACTGAGGGTGATTCGCCAGGTCAGGGTACGCCCACTGAGCCTCCTCTGGAGTCCAGGTCTGCTGATTCCCGTGACACGCCTCCTGCTGAGTTCTTGACGGAAGCCGTGGGCGAGCTGGCGTGTGACTGGACTGTGGGCACACCCTTTTACGGGCCGCATGCGTCATTCACCTCTGCCCGGCGTGTACAATCCTACTTGCTCACTGCCAGCGTGGGTGGTCAGATCCACTCATATTCAGATGCCACTCACGTCACGACACCTGCGTACCGTCATGGGCACCAGTGCTGTGCACGCCCGCGAGGGCACCGTCAAGGCCATTGCTTGTCGATGGGTGATCTGCAGGACTTCACTACGCCACTTCTAATTGCTTCGCGCGCAGGGGCCAAATCGGCTTTTGTGCACCCGTCGTCACCTCACCCTGAACGCATCTTTACTACCTGCAATGCTCACTCGCGACACCCTGTGCGCTCCCAGCTAGCCCCAGCTGGTCATCCTGTCACCCACTTGTGTGCAAACACAGTTTCGTAACGCTTACTTCTTCGTCCTCTGCGCAATTCCCAGTGTCGCCCACCAGAGACCCGCTGGCTCCCTTTGGTCACTACACGTTGACAAACTGGACTTCCTAAACGGACACCTTGCGGATTCTCGTTCATGTACATAGTCTCTTTCTCTTTCTTTGTCATATACACTTCAAATCGCGCAAAGCGCTAGGGGGGGAGCCCTGTAGTGCATGATCATCATCATCATTTTCTTGATCACCGCGCCGCGCCACTCGCGCAGCTGACGCGAGCTCGAGCTGCGCGAGGATTAGAACGAGCTTCTGGCCTGGCGGTTTGGACGCTGGTAGCCGCCGCGGCTCCTCTTCAGGCGTGCAATAAAGTGGCGAGATCAGCACGGCCCCATCTGCCGCCTTCGACGCCGTCTCACGTCTTTCTCCTCCTCGCCGCTACACTAGGTTTCAGAGTTCCAAGTAGTGAACGGTAAGCGACAACACCCGCAAACAAAGCTTCAGGCTGAACAGTGTTCAAATAAGTGCCTAAATTGAAAATATGCATCCATAGACACAAAAGACCCTTTGTAAAAGCCCCTCATAACTCCTGACTGGTTGTCACATATCAATGGGATGTGGCAGGAGCAGGAGGAAGAAATTAGACATTTGCGTAAAAACCACTTGCCCCTAATGCAACACCTTACGGCAGCGAAAGCCGTGAACCAAGTTAGTGACGATTGCGAAATTGGCAAAAAGAGTGCGACACACCAATGAAGAGACGAGGTCGATGCAGGGCACGTTGTCGGCGTACTCAATCTCAAGGTCGGCCAGGACACCTTCCTCCCGACACGCCTCCATGCTGCTCTTGAAGACGTGCGTGTTGTAGAAGTGCTGCATTGTCTCCGCGCACAGATTGATGCACAGGTGCTCCAGCTGACTCAACTGCATCGTAAATTTAGACCGTTTGCAGGTACAGCCATGTGAACGTTTTGAATCCTTTCTACTGGCTTTTGAGAAATATTTGGGTGCAGATAACATGAAGCTCCAGCGAAACCAACACAAAAAGAAGAACAGACTCTCCAGCCATGCTTAGTTAAGATTGGCGGTGGAGAAAGACCAAAGGGCCAACTTTTTAAAATAAAGACTGAAGACAAAACATGGCTGAAGAGTCTGTTTATACTTACAATTTTACCCAGTGAGACAGACTTGTCAAATATATTAACCTTTAAAATAAAACAATCTAAGCGCATCATTGATGACACCTTTGCGAGTAACAAAGCTTTTCTTCACTTTTTTTAATAACAGAAAGTTAGTAGGTGCAACATTTACGAACTCCTTATCTGCTTCACCGCAAATAGCTGGCCCTTTACTTTACTACGAAAAAATATGAGAGGTGGTAATAGAGGGCCTCATTTTGGGCCTTGTAGGCCTAATAAATACTACAGTAGACTCCCTTTAAGACAAACACAAAGGGGCCACAATCATTTGTTTGTCTTATCAGAAGTGCCCCAAAAAATGAAATGCTAACATGCCAAGTATGCCCAATTAAGTCGCTTGAAAACACTGAATGAAGTGTACTTATAACGCAGAGAAAAGCAACCAAAAAAACATTTATTTGACTCAGCTTGATAAAAACTGTGCTTTTGAGTAGAGTATGTAGACTAATCTAATGAATACTCGATTTCGCTAGTTCATAACAAATATACTAAGGAATAAATTGTTATCACATTTTAACAACAAAACTGTAGCATGATCCTATTTTGACGATTTGGCACACAAAAAAGACACGATGCAGCCATATTTAGTGTGCAAAATTACCTTCCTTTGTTCTGCACTTTCAATATGAAAATGGCGCATCACAACTTGCTGCATTCCACTGTGAACAGGTACCATGCACACAGGCCCAAAGCAAAACAATGCAAACTGACCACATGTGGTCAGGCGCCATTGTGTGACAGCAATGACAATGCATATGACTCCTCTGATAGGAGTGCTAGTGCCGCATATGTGGTTGCCGTTTCATGAAATTATAACGTAAAGACAATCTTTGTTACTGTTTTCACTTTCATTTTTCTTTTTTCCGCTTCCGTTCTCTTACATTTTACCCTCCAGACACACACTTGTGTTCTGTTCTCTACTGTACTCTGGTTGGTGAACTCAACGTGAGCAGAATACGAAAGGACAAACGCTTTTTTTTGCTTTCTTTGCTGATAAAGCCGGCTCTTTTTCCACCTACAAGCCAGCGGTGAGAGAGATACCAGCTTTATGTGGTGACCTTACTTTTCCATTTATCCCGCTTTCTCTCTCCACGTCGCAATTCGTTTTCGATTTGCTTTGAGTCTTAGCACCAGAAGGTATTGGTTTTTTTTTCGGTTTGCTTTCTTTTGTTCGCCTGAATGCCCCCATCAAGATATAAAGTTCGTTGCACAGAATTATCGTCGTTCCTGTTTGCTGCTAACAGAAGACAGAAGAGCCTGGTACATGGTCCGTCTTGAGCAGATTTTTTTGCATTAAGTCTGTGGGAAACCAAACAAACTCTCCTGTGTTGTTCGTCTTAAGCAAGAATTCGTCCTAACAGAGTTCATCTTAAAAAGAGTTTGCCGTAATTCTACATTATGCACCACCAAACCCGAAGTGCTATTTCTCCAGAGAGAACAAGGCGAAGGAGCCACACTGGACGATTGCTAGATTTCTATTGAAATTTCACTTGGAACACATGAGGCCCTCAGTAATGACATCCAAGCAAAACACTGGTACAGAGGAACAAAAATGTTTCAAAAGCCAGGTGAGTTCATGATTCTGAAACATTTACTCTAACTCAACAAAATATGACAAGATTACATAGATACTTCTCGGCACCTATGCGAGTGGTATCTTCAGTATAGACTGACATCAAATGAGTGGAGGCTGTCCAGTCCACTACTCGTGACGTGTGTCTCTGTAAACGTCCACTTAGGTCCGCAGTCATTGTACACCGATTTGTCTTAATGGATAAACTCTGATTCTCCTTTCGCCCACTCAACCACCGCCCCCGTTTGTTGCTGAGCCAGCATGGTCGCATTGTTGAAGACGAAGGTATGTACAGTTAAATCTAGGTACAAGAAAATTTACAAATTCCCAGAAAAATCTGTTATAAAGAAGGTTTGGTTAATGCAGGTTTGGTACACGAATTCTAAAAAGAACTGAAGGCAGAGCTAACGCAAAACAGTTATTGAGCACCAGAATTCTAAAAAGAACTGAAGGCAGAGCTAACCCAAAACAGTTATTGAGCAGTAAATAAACTGTGTTATTATTGTGATAGCAATTATATGGACACTCGTGATGGGGTTTTGGTGTCACCGTCGTGTTCCGTAAACGTCCAAATTAATAACATGCCCCCACGCATTGTAACTTTTACGAGCAAGTAAAAGCACGCAAGCACTGCTGAAGCAGCGATAAAATGAGCTAGCCCATTTCTACCGCCTGCGCGGTGCACACGATAACATCCCTTCGTGTGTTAGAACCACCGTTGAATGCCCAAACAGAAAGAAGGAAACCACCTGTATTGCGCGAGCTAGCAAAAACGCGTGGGGGGGGGGGGGGGGGCAATTTTTAAGGGCACGGTCGTTGGCGTGCTTGCTATCTCGAAAGCATCAGTGCACTTTCAAGAGTGCGTTTTCAACACAAAGAGACTGTGAAAAAAAGAGCACTTCTCCCTGGAGCGGGGCTGTATTTGCTTACACGAACATTTAGTAGGAGTTCCGCGATATCGGCCGGATCTAAAAGAGTTGGCTGCCAGCTGTTTACTTTGTATAAAATTGAAGTTTGTTGCTATTGCATTCATTGCATTACATTCAACATACCGTCGTGTTGCCCAGGCTAATCGCGAAGGCTACAGTCCTGCAACTCACAGCACGGCGCAAAACGGAAGCGCTTGACGAGTTGACCACTGAAGATCTGCCCTGATCACTTTGGTCTCAGCGTTTCCATCAGCAACTGATCTGACATCTCTTCGATAATGACACAAAAAAAGCAAAGTTGAACATCACCGGGGGTAACGTACACCATGCACGCAAGCCATGCATGTGCGCACGGCATCGAAAACGAGGAGCGAATGGCACGGATACCGCGGAAAACCCTTCGGTAAAGCACCCTCCATATGCTGCGCAGCCCCACATATATGAAGCTAGCTAAAAGCGTGACATTGCCAACGCAAAAGCAGCTTTTTTTTTTTTTTGGTTTGGGGGGGGGGGGGGGATAGGTGGGCACATTTGCACAAACAGTGGCAAAACAGCGGCTCGTGGGACGCAGGCCCGCCCGCTCGCCTCGCGCACTTCCGTGCACAGAAAAAAGCCACTGCCACTTTGGGCTTCGTCAGCTGCGGGGCAACCGCGGAAGATGCTCGTGCCAAAAATGACTAAATCCGGGGCTAACTTCTCTAACTGTTCGTGGCAGAAATTCGTTATATCAAGGATGTCTCCTGTTGTTACTTTGTCACATGGAGGCTGCAAACACATGTGTATCTATGGAATAACGGCATGCAATAGGAAAACTTCATTATACTCAGGAACTCATTACGTGGAGGTTCGTCATAAGCAGGTTTAACTGTATGTTCAGCTGCTTTCAACAAGCTCGGTCCTGGAACACATTGCATTAGCGACATCCCCTTTGTATTCTTTGAGACTCATTACGCTTGTCCTGCCTGTTTGGTCGTTGTAACCAGCATCGCAATACCTGCATTGTACTTTGTATACGAGCCGGCTTTGATCATTCACGTGTGGTACGGAGGGTGCCATCCGCATAGGTGATGCAACGTTTATGTACTATATTCTGATATTTTTGTTAAGTCAGAGTAAATAATTCAGAATCACAAGTATATAAAGATGGTGCAATAGACACAGATAGAGCGAACCTCACCTTGACGTCCTCGAAGCCAAACATGTCGAGTATGCCGATGAATCCATCAGTGGCGTGTCGCACTGCCGAGTTGAGCACGCTCATCGACTTGGACGACTTGGCACCACTCGAGCCGATTGTCGACGCATGCTGGCTTCCGGTGTCTGTGAAGTTTTAAAGTATAACACAATCCTCGTGCTTATTTCTGTAAATGAAATCATTGTTGAAACATTTGGCAAACTTATGAGTTGAACATATACCTCATGTGATCAGCAGTATATATGAGAACTGACAGCAAATATTGTGAATGAAGCTATAGTGGATGTTATTAGAAGTAATTATAATAAAAATTAAAGAAAGTGAAGCGGACATAAAGTGGACTTTCCGCCAGCAGAGACCCAACCTGTAACTTTTATAAGTAAGTTGTAACTCAGTTGGTAGGGCATCAGACGTGGTAATTCGAAGGTTGCAGGTCCGGTCTCTGCCAGGGGCGGCAAGGTATCTTTTCATCCACTTTGCTTTCTTCATATGTACATTACAATTACTACTAATGACAATCTCTATGCTTTCCTTAGCATTATTATGTGTAAGTTGTGTCTGAGAAAAAAAAACAAGGCCTTATGTTTAAGTTCTGCTTGGGCAGGTTTGTTCATCATTTTGCACTGGTAAATCAATCTTTAAGTTTCCTTCATGACCAGTCTAACAAGGTATGACTGAGTGTTCAACCAAAACCTTTCAATCGTTTTGTTTCTGTGTTACCGTTGATTCAACTCCTTTGCACAGTGGCCCACTTGCAATGAAGCGCTCACACCCTGCACTCCATTAGCCCTCTACTTGTGGTCTCTATGGCCCCTTTTACCATATTGTTTACTCTTTTACTTTTTCTTTTGAAAGTTTCGCCGCACGGGCAATCCAGTGAGTGGGTCAGCAACAAATTATAATGTCGTTCGAAGAAAGGCTCAGTTCCTAAAAAATGTAGCCATTGCAGCAAGCTTGGTGTGGTCTAAGGCTTCAGTGTAAACTTTGCAATTTAAGCACAACATGTGAGCTTCGGTTTGACCTAGGTATTGTACATCACCGGGCATTCTAGCAAATAAGTGAGAGTTTCTTGTGTCACAGGTCAAATCACTGTTAATTTCCAGCTTGATGTTTGTTCTACTGATTTACACAGTTGCCATTGTCAACGGTGCAAGCACTTGACAGAGGGCATTTTTCTAAAGCATGGCACCATCCTTATAACACCTCAGGCCAGCTGCTCGTGGTAGCTAGTCACACTAAATGTGCCACGCATCTTGCTGCAAGCCATCAACAAAACACGGTCACAGAAGGCACGTTGCACCCGTTGATGGTCAATGATACTCGCGTATGGTCAGTCGACATTGGCAAGTTCCTCCTCTGCTTTCCCTGGTAGGACACCAAAAGAATTACTGACCAAGGCGGGTCTCGTGCCCTCTACGTTAGTTGTTTCTATTCAATTTTTATTACGTTCCTGAGGGTACATATGTTGGTTATATAAATATATACATATACATGCATTGAGAAACGATCGACGAACGTGCAAAAATGTTTATTACTTCCAACGTTTTGACACGAGGGTCTGCCTTTGTCAGGTATTCTCACACACACACACACACACACACACACACACACACACACACACACACACACACACACACACACACACACAGAAGAATAACTTGGGTTGCCGCAAGACTACAAATATAAAAGTAGATGCGCTTTCACATTACAACTTGTTAATGCCCACGTTACACACCATGCATCAATCGATTGTAAAGCATTGTTTAGTTATATATATATATATATATATATATATACACACACACACAAAGTATAAAAGTACATGCGCTTTCACATAAAGATAAAAACTTGTTTATTCAGCCGACGTTTTCGATGGGAGCCCCATCTTTTTCAAGGCATAATACTATTTACACATTTTCGTGTCTTCTTATAGCTTCTCGAGACAGGAGGGAAGGGGACAGAAGAAAAATATTAACAACAACAAAAAAAAAGACGAGAAAAAAGAGGAGGAATAAACATTAGAAAGAAGCAAGAGGGACATGGTGGAATTAGAAAGGAACAGGAACTCAACAAAGTAAGGCGAACATAAACGAGCTATGCCATTATTGTCAACAATACCTCCCAAGCACCCATCCTTCCCCCAAGTGGACATATGGATCCACAGAAGCACTGGATCCACAGAAGCACTTCTTTATTGTAACGGGGTTTGTTTGCAGAGCAGAACGCATAAGGAGAAGCAGTCAGCAGCGTCTGGCCAAGCGCAGCAAGCACGAGCTTATGCTGATGGCGATGCCCCTGCGGGGCATCGCCATCAGCATAAGCTCGTGCTTTTTTCTCACTACAGTCGCCCTCTTTTTCTCACTACAGTCGCCCTCTGCAAAAAAAGGCCCCATCCTGGTGGATTACGGAGAAAAAACAACTAATGGGTCAGAGTAAGGCTTGAGGCGAGAGACGTGGACAGTGTCACGGCAGCAGTAGCGTAGGTCTGGATGGGATGATGGGCTCCATGATGTAGTTGACGAGTGACGTTTGGTCTACAACGCAGTATGGTCCGAGGTATTTGGGAAGAAGTTTTGTGGAGTGGCCAGGTGCACTCGCAGGTGCCCGAAGCTATACCAATGAACCAGGTGAAATGTTTGGAGCCGAACGGTCCACAGGTTGGCAGGATTGCTGCTGCCACTGGTCTTCAGTCGAAAAAGAGCGGGCAAGCTGGCGGCATTTTTTAAGATGTCGGGTAGCTTCGGACAGAGTTGTACTTTCGGACTCATCAGGTTCATATGGAAGAATAGTGTCTACTGTGTTAGAAGGTTCTCGTCCGTAGAAAAGAAAATACGTCGAACCCAGTAGTAGCTTGTACGGCAGTATTAAAGTCAACTGCCGATTTTTCGGACATGCCCGAAATTCGGACATCTTCGCGGCACCGCCATGAGCCCCAAAAAATCAATGTATGAGGAAGTCTAAAATTTCGGACGCTCGAAACCGCCGGAGTCCAATTTTCCGAACTTTTTGACGTGACGGAAGGTAAAAAACTACCACTGACCTCCAGTGGAAACCACCACAACTGCGTCACACGCGATTAGGATCGCATAAATGAGCGCGCTGGTCTACTGTGGCAGCATCTGTTGCTTGGACTCATTGATCGTTAGCGGAGAAACACACGGCCTCCGAGATTCCTAACACTGGCCCTGTTTATCGTGCAAGGGTGTTTCGCTGACAATCACAACTATCCACCCGGAAATTTTTTGGAGCCAATAAAGTTCTTTTCGCTTTAGCGCTTGTGCTCGTGCGTGCCACTTTGGCTTACCGCGCAGCACTTTGGCGAAGCATTTCCCCACTTAGAACTAGAACTAACCGTCACACACCGATTTGGTCTGGCCACGCTGGCTATCTTGAATGTCTACTAGCGCCACCTCCAGAGTACCCGAGACACCGTCGCCTGCGGTGGCACCGTTTTGTTTACGCAGCCCACATGGTGTTTGGCTAACCTAGTGCGTGGTTGTGCGATCATGTGAAGTGTGCTCTGCAACGCTAAGCCTAGGTGCTTCGACGCTCATCAGCAAACTCCTTTGTTCACATCGTCAGGATTTCGCTTGCCTGCGATGGCCCACACTCCGTGTGGTGTCATGTGAAGCCTGTGTGACGTCACACTGATACCGCCGGTGCTTCATGGCTATATAAGTGCTGTGAACCGGGCGCTCAGTGTTCTTTTGAACTCCGCATGCATGTAACAATAAACCGTCTTACTGTTCTTCGTTCACGGCCACTCTGGCTCTGCTCGTCCCTTGAAGCTACAACAGATTGGCGATGAGGATGGAATCCAAATTCCACTGGGCTACAAGACACCATTAGCGGCGGTTCTGAAGCACTGCGAAGATACAAGCAGGATGGCGACATTGGGAAGGTTCGATCAGTTCATCGAGGATGGTGACGAAGATTTTCAGTCCTATGTGGAGCGGTTCGACCACTTCCCGAAGGCCTCCCAGGTGAGCGGCGACCTGAAGGGGTCAGTGTTCATAACGGCAATAGAAAAGAAGGCCTACAAAACTCAGAAAAGCCAGAAAACAAGACGTACACACAGTTAGTACAGACACTGAAAGAGCAGTACGTTCCCGAAACTTCCATGATCGCCGAGCGTTTCAAATTCAATCGTTGTTTTCAACAAGATGGGCAAGCGATGACAGCCTTCGCTGTAAAGCTGAAGCGGTTGGCGACATCCTGTGATTTCGGAACATTTCTGGATGACGCGCTGCGCGACCGGTTTGTGGCAGGACTTTGCGACAAAGAAACACATTCAGAGCTGTTAAAGACAAGCAAGTTGGCTTTTAAAGAGGCCTGCGATATCGCTAGGAGTATTGAGTTGGCCCAGAAAGAAAGCCAGGATTTTCAGCCCAAGTCGGCGCAAGGAATGATCAGCACCCTTAACCGCAAAACAGAGAGCGGGAAACGCCCACCACACTGGAGAGAAGAAACTTCGGGGATGCCTGCTGGCACAAGGAGAACGGAACCAGTGCACTGTTTTCAATGCGGCTCAGAGCATGAAGCATCTATCTGCAAATTTCGAAAGTACCGTTGTCGGGTGTGTAAACGGTTTGGACACTAACCCCCGAATGCAGAGATGTTACTTGACTCGTTCTTGACTCAAGACAGTCTTGCCGGTCGCCATAAATCGTTCTCGAACTTGCGGATGACTTCAAGGCGACTTGGCTCGGTCGAAGTCAGGACAAGTTTCAAGTCAGCTGCGGGGCTAGCTTGAAAGCGACTTCACGCGTTATTCTAACATGGCCACCTCTCGAATGGACGTCGCGTGAAAGGTGGCCGCTTTTGAGTTTGCTTGCCTCGCCATAAGCGTAGCATTTTTTGAGGCGCACTGCCTGTCGAAGATTCTTGGAACCGCTTTACGTGACCAAGGAAATCCGATGGAGTTGTACGACAAGCAACAATTCCACGCTAGGTACAGATTCATGAAGAACGCCGTGCGGCAGCTGCTCATTATGTTGCCGCTCCGTGAAAGTGGGGACAACCGAAGACAGCCCGTGCATCCAGTGTTACAGCTACTGATGGCTCTCAGGTTTTACAGCGCTGGCACATTCCAACCAGTCACCGGAAATTTCGTCCGCATTTCGTA